AGCTTGAATGAGAGAGAGATGCTTTTGCTCCTGTGGTTTGGAAAGGCTTCCTTTGCTGGTTGTTTTTAGAGTGTGTGAAAAACTAAATTCTGAAGGTCAGAGAAGTAAGTCATGACACATTATAGGTAAGCTCATCAGCTCCTTCATAGTGAGTTCAGAAGGGCGTGATGCAGGCAGTACAGTAAGTGGTGGTCATGATATTCTGAGGCAGAACATTTGGGTTTCTCTACAGGTATAATTGGTATAAAGTGAGTCATTAGTCATCACATTTTCTGGAAGAATCAGAAGAGAAAAAGTTTAAAGTGAAATTGAAAACACTGTTGTAATTTACTTTTGTCACTCATATGAGAGGATGATGTTTTGCATCAAGCTTAAAAAAGCTTAGTATCACCCGATTCTTATGCTATGCACTAATTAGAATTTAATAGAAGGAGAATATAAGGCTTTCCCAATCTGATTTAGTATTATTTATGCTAGGAACGCATGGATATTCTGTGTGCATATTCATACAGGACGTTCTTTCATATGGGGGTAGGGGCAGGGGGTGGTGGTGGTACAGGCATTGGGGAAAGATGCTGCTTAGCCAAAAAAAGAAAAAAAAAAGGGAACACATAGAAACTATGTGTAGGATGCGTAGCTAGACCAGAAGGAAAGTAGTAGAAATCTCCTTACCCCAGGGAACTGATTTTTGTCTATGCCAGGTATTTGCTGATGTTGTGAAGCCATCTGCAAATTCAAACACTCAGTGAATATGCTAGACATATTCTTCTATTTGAGTACAAAAATCCACTTTTTCAAGGGCTAAAGAGTCCTTTAAGTCAAATGTTGATTGAAAGGCTTGACACTTCAAGGAAGACAAATGTGTCAGTGACCGGAAAATGATTAAAACAATGCTAGACTTGCAGCTAGCACTCAGCATTTCAGACCAAATGTTATGTTTTCATATCTTCAGGACAAACAGGATAAAAAGGAGTTGAAACATTATGGGCTTGGAATTCAGGGTCTTTATCATTTCCAACAAATATTTCCAAGCAGCTTCTTTTGTATACATCATTCCTTAGCTGGAGACTGATGCCTTCCATTAGGTTCATTACAAAGGACATGGGTGAGACCTTCCACCCTGAAGATTTCCATGGTTCCACTAACTTTTCTAACTGAACGTGATTCCAGTTACATGCCATTCTCTGCTTCCATAGCCTGGAAAGAAACTTTCCTGCCTGGGAATTCCACTTGTCTGTGGAACATTGGGGGAAGGAGTGGGGCTACTGAGTAGTTCCTTTGCATTATCTGTAAATAGAAAATTGTAACTCTTCAGCCTTTCTTCATCTTCTCCCTCTTTTCCTCATGTCATTTTCAATCACATAAAGGAGATCTGAAGGATCCTCTTCTCTAACCTTAGTCACCTTAGGAGGATGTAAAAATCCCTTTGGGAGACAAGCTGGGTTAAAACAGGATAAAATTGGAAGACTTCTCCTCCTCCTGCCCCTCCCAATTATCCTCTTACACTCTCTTCCCTTCTCCCTTCTCCATCCACACTGGGCACCTTAGTTGAAGTCCTCAGGTTCCCCAGGCCAGGCCCCATCCCTCACAGTAAGCCAGGTTGCGGCCTGCATTTGTAATAAACCAGTCTGTACCCGCCCTGCCCCAGAATCGGGTTACTTCCGGGCCTCTGCAGACTGACTGAACGCTCCCCAAGCTTAGAAGCAAATTCCCATCTCTCTCTCTCTCTCTCTCTCCCTCTCTCTTTCTCTCTCTCTCTCTCCCTCTCCCTCTCTCTCTCTCTTTCTCTCTCTGCCCGGGGGCACTTGGAGGTAGCTTTAATTATTGGGACTTTGATTGCCTGTACTCCCTTCCACTGAATAGAAAGCAAAAAGAGCCTGCGCTCCCGCCTGAAGATTTGGGGAGGCAAGGATGCAGCCCAAGACTCCCACAGTTCTTCGATCCATCCCTCAGCGTCTAGTTCCCTTCCTCAGCCTTCCAGGCTTCCCCTGACCTAGAGGGCCTGGGCCACAACTGTTCAGAATACGAAAGCTTCCTTGCCCACTGACACCAAACTCACCTAACCAGAGATATCAATGTAAGGCAAGATCTGCCGCAGTATCTTGTCCGTGGTTCCACGAACAAGCTGTGTGTCGGGGCTGCGGGTCTTTAGATTGTGCTGAAAAATGAGTGGTCTCTAGAGCTAGATTTTACTGGAGTTGAGTGTCCAAAAAATCTCAAATTAAATTCTCTATTTAAGTCTTTCACTTCACCGAATTGGTACAGGCCCCGAGGCTGGCAATTTTGGAGTGCAGGGCCCTCAGTTCCGCAGTGAGAGTGCTTTCGCTGAGAAGAGGGTAAGTGGCAGAGCCTTTGGGAGCCGGAGGCGCAGTTCAGTCTTGCAGGCCTGTGGAGTCAGAGGTTCCACCATATTCCCCACTAAGTTATTGGTGTTTGTGGTTTTCCCCTTTTAATAGGCCATGAAGTCAACAAACTCCCCACATGGTGGCTCTCTTTACTAAAGTTGAGGAGTGAATTTGTACAAGGAGTCTTGGAAATTTTCAAGTGTTTCTACAGATTGAACTCATTTCAGAATTCGCGTGGGAGGAAAGAGTAAGGATTTTAATGGAGTTCATCTTTGACGTGAAAAAAGGCGGAAGTCAGGAAAGCAAGAGTCGATAATAGCTTTGGATGCTTTAGTAAGAAAGATATCTAAGCTTGATTATCCGTGGTGCTCACTTCCCACTCTGTGTGCGAGCTTACTCTAGAGGCAGAGCTGAACAAGGAACACACGCATGTAAATACTCCAACATAAATCAGCGAACATATGCAGTAGAGACAAAGAGATACATCCCATGTAGATGTGGTTTGAAGCTTTGTTGCAGGCAAGCAATCTAGCGCATCCCCAGGAATAAACTAAGAGGAAGTAGGCAGCTTCTAACCAATAATGGAGAGGAATAAGTAAAACTTTGTCTTCTTGGAGGAAGAATTAAATCTCAAATAAGAGAGCGGGAAAAGCATTGAAATGAGAAGCATTATAATTTTGTCTTAGAAAAAGCATGCAGAACTAATATAGCTTATTTAAATGTTAGATCCAAATCACAGTAACAGGAAACACTCCCACTAAATTGCCATTCCCTCGAATTTCTAAGATCCAAATAAGTAACATGCACACACTAATGGTTACTGATAGCTCTATTTCCTTTTTTGATAGAAATAGACCCGAGTTCTTTCACTGGAGTAAAAATGTACAAATCTCAAATTACCCAGAGGCGGGGAAGCCTCCTGATGTTGTGGTCTTTCCTTATTGCTTTCCTCTTCCCACATCATTTTTAGTTAAATATATATATATTTTTACTGGTCTCAACAGAGGGATTCCTGTTAGAAACCCTCAGTAAATGAACCTGTACTGGGAATCTCATGCTTTCCCAGTTTACAACTCAAGTTGTAAATAAAAGGGGAAAAATTGCTCACTCCAAAATTCTTAAAATTTGATTTTTGTGTGGAAAGCACAATCTCACAGCTTCAATTCTTCAAATCAGTAAGAGCCACAGAAAGTGTGAAAGTGTCCAAATACATCGTCTAGAGTTCCAAGATCCAGGATTAACAGGAGATATAGAATATTCTTTGATGAAATCTAGAAGGGTTAGACCATTCTCAGCTCCAAGGGCATTTATGGACACTGCAAGGGGGTATCGAACAGTGAGGTAGTTGGGTGATGAATTGCCACATTAATGGCACCTCACCAAATCCTCAGATTTAGAGGCTGTGGTGAAAAACTGAATCAGGGGCAATTTTCAATGTTTATAGCATCTTGGACCAAACAGGTTCAGCAGTCAGAGCCACCCTCTGGATGCAGCTTTAACTCTAATCAATCTCCTCGTAGCCAGACTGTCAACGACAGCCAGACTCATTAGCAATTTACTGAAAATCCTGCAAGACTTCCCTTTAAAAACAAAACGACTTCCACATTTAATTGTCTATCTGAAAGAACATACGCAAGAAATTAGGAGATCTAAATTAAATTTATTAATAGGAGAGCTTGATGTTGCTTAATTCTAGAGACCAGAGCTCTGATTGTGGGGCTTGATGAAAATTAAAGAGAAATAGTAGGGACATGGTTAAAAACATGACTTTGACCATGCTCGAAATTCTTACCCATTTTTGAGAAATGGGTAAAATTGAAAACCATCAACATAATTGGACTTCTTAAAAATTGGATTGTGTGAGTGAAAGGTGTTTATGAGAAGTGGATGACTCCGGATCTTATCATCCAAGAGGACAGCACAGAATAGTTAATATGTTCCTTGAGGGACTAGGATGCTGACGTCTTTTTCTGATACCCGATCATTGCGTGACTGGAAAAAAAAAAAAAAAAAAAAAGGAAGTCATTTCATGAGCGTAACAGTGCAACAAAATATTCTGTACTTAAAGGCCATAGGCAGACAGATGTTGACAAAGAAGTCTCTCCTAAAACCATGTTCAGATAGATTTCTGCCCACTGCATATATAAATAGGAGCAGAGGGCCAGTCACCTCTGTAACCACCGGCAGTAGCAGGAGAAGCCGCAGCTTCAGACACAGCCAGAGGACCTCAGAGGAGAAGGCACTGCCAACGCAAAAAGCTGCTTGGCCGGGCGGCTCCTCAGATGCCAGCTTCTCCTTGGCCCTTTTTCTTTTCCTTCCTCTCCTTCTTCCACTTCCCCTCTTTTCCTTAATCACTTACTTATTTTTCCCGGCGGACTTAGGCCACTTTGCCCTCCACCCTCCACTTTAGCTTGTCGTCTCCTCTTCCTTCCTTCTACATTTCTCCCCTCCTCCAGTTCTCTCGGTGTCACGCTCCCTCCTAGTTCTGTGCGTCTACAAACTTTTGAACTGAATACCGGCCTCAGCAAACAAGTCCTCCAGCTCCTCCTGCTGCTCCGGTTCGTTCCTGCGGCTTCTCCTCAGACACTAACGTACCAGACGGCGATGACTCTTTGGTTGTGACTCCAGCGCAGAAACTTGGAGGAACCCTTTGCTAACCGTCCTACTTGGCAGCAAACCTTTCCTAGCGGCGGTAAGTAATGAATGGTGGTGGTGGTGGTGGTGGTGGTGGGGGAGGGGGTAGGCAGGGAGGGAGTCTTACCAAACCAAACGGCTCACTTGGTTGCTGAATCTTTTGCCGGCATGAAGGTACTAGTTGGTTTTCCTTCGCACCAGGTCTGACACACACACACACACACACACACACACACTCATTCACTCACTCACTCACTCACTCACTCACTACGTATAGTGAGAAGGAAGTGGCAGGGCGAGCTTGGGCTGTCACTAAAGAGTATTCGACATCAGGAGCCTTTCGATCCGTCCCTCCCCCAGCTCCAGCTCCGGGAGTCTTTGGGGTTGGAGGGTGGAAGGCCAGGGGCATTCTGACGGTTGTGTGCCCTCTTTCCTGTTTTGCACAGAATGACCATGTGTAGCGGAGCAAGGCTGGCCCTGCTGGTCTACGGGATAATAATGCACAGCAGCGCGTACTGCTCACCTGACACCACCGGGCTCCCGTTTCCTGGGATCAGGTAGGTGCTGGCTGCCGGGATGAATTGAGGCTGGGCTTCTCTTCCCTCGACACCTCTTCCTGGTCGTCCTCCTGCAGTTCCTCGGTTCCTGCTACGACGATCTCCCCACGCGCTCCAGAGCGCCGCCGCCCCAGCCTGGGTCGGCGGGCAGCGGGCAGCGGGCCCCAGGCCCCGGCTGAGCGCGAGGGCCCGGCGGACTCCACTTTGGCTTGGTGCCCCTCCCCCAGTCGGAGGCAGCCTAGAGGGGCCAGGGTGGAACTAGCGAGCTTCTTGGGCTGGAGAAACCTATCCACCTCCAGCCCCGCCCGCGGGAAGGGACAGGGTATGACCCGGAGCTTGACTTCTTTTTCCTATTCTCAGCTGTAGTTAGGAGAACCCTACTCCCGAAGCCAGGTTGGAGAGTTGAGCGTGAAGCTCTCAGGGATTTTGCTTTGTTACAGCTTGTTCTGCACTATCGTAGAGGGGTCTCTCTCACCTCAATTTCAATTCTTTCTTCTGGAAGAGCCTTCTCTCAAGTGATACGTTTTCCAGCCGCATTTTGAGTCTCAGAATGTCTTGAGGAGGGGAGTGTTGGCTGGGTTGAAGAAAAGCGATTTGAGAGAAGGAAAAACGAGAATGAGTCTGAGAGGGAGGGGGAGAAACAGGTGCAAAGGATGCAAGGAAAGAAGAAGAAAAAGCAAGCAGGCAGGCAGTATCAGGACAGCCCTGCCCGCGCAGAGTAAGCCTGGGTTTTTCTTAATTCTAGTTTCTAATCAGTCGACTTTCCCGTCTCAGCCCCAGAGTACCCTACGGGGCAGTGAGTGAGAGAAAGCTCGCTTTGCAGCTCTGCGTACGCGCCCCACGGTGCACTCGGCTCCTGGCGGCGAGGAGCGCGAGTTACGCCTGCAAAGCTGTTTCTCCGAGCCGCGCCCTGAAACGTGCCTTAGAGGCCGCTGACCACCGATTTGGCCCGAGAGATGAGTTCTGGCTGCGGTATTAGGACTCTAGCATTTGGGTACAGGAAGGGTGGGGGTAGCCAGCATGATCCGGGGGCGTCGGCCACCGGTGAGGGCAGACGCGGTTTGCCTAGGAAAGGCTCAGTGCGAGGGATATGCTTGCCTTGCCCTTACGTCTCGAGGGATTAACAAAAGGAGTGCGGAGTAACGAAGTGAGACTTTAACCCCTCTTAGAGAGTGCGATTTGCCCCGGCCGATTTCCAAGTCTCTCCACCGTCCCAAAGCGAGGAATTTTTGTGTTTTAACTCACCTCTCTCCGTCCTATATCTAGACTAGAGGCGGTAGGCAACGGCGATTGCGAGGCCGCTGCGTTCTTGTTGGCTCTCGGTCCCCTGTTGCCCATTTTCCTGATCCCCAAGGTTGAGATACTGTCCCCTTGTCTCGCCATCGGTAACTAGCGAGAACATTTTTTTTAGTGGACCTATTTCAACCCCAGCTATTTTCAAAGGCCATTTCCCCGGGCAAGAGAGGCAACGGAGGGCACGGACATGCCACAGAATGAGCCGCCGCCAAAACCGACTAAGTTTAGAGGCATCTATTATTCGTGTTCCTGCCAGATTCTCTCCCGCCCAAAATAGAAGCAAGAGGTTCTCCGTGACCTACATCTACGCGGGAAAGGGCTCCCCTGGGCTCAGAGACTGACTGGGTGGGGGTGGTTTCCGGAGCTGGCCGCTGTACACTACCATCCATCCATCCGTTCTGTTTCGCTCCTGGCCTCCCCCATCGGGTCTTAGCGTTGGCCAGCGCCTAGTCTCGTAGGACCTTTCTCGTACTAGTCCGTTGCTGCTTGTGTGTGTGTGTTTGGGGGGGGGGGGGGAGGAGGCTCAGGCACCAGACTATAAGCAGGGCGGTCCTTCTCGGAGGCCAGAGGCCAGGTGTGCGTGGTCGGCGGAGACGAATCGGCTTCCCAGTGCCCATGGAGGCTGCGGCCCTTCCGGACAACCCTTCACCCGCGAAAGGAGGGTTGGGAGAACCGCCTCGTGGGGTGGAAATTTCATTTGGATGTCGTTTACTCCTCCTTACCTGTCCGGGAAGAAGAGTCAGTTCTTCATGAGAGACCTCTAGGAGGAAGAAAAATCAGAGCGAGCCCATTTTTGGTGGGGTCCTCGCAGAACTGAGGACGTACTTGTACTGACCACTCCTTCTGCCCTCGGCTACCCCTGCAGGTCGGATGACGAGGCGTACGACGAGGACGGAAATCAGCTGCTAAACTTCCATGACTTGGAGCTGCCGGGCGCAGAGAGCCCTGCCTCCGCGCACCGCGAACCCGAAGCGCTCAATCACCCAGGGGAGATAAGGTACTACCTGCTCGGCCTCCGCGCGCCCCGGGACTGAGGTTGTGGAAGGGGCAGGGTGTTGGGTCACCCCTTGGGTTCTTTTTCATAAAAGTCCTCAAGGCTGTCTTCTCTCTGGTTCCCACGACAGCGACAGAAAGTTAGTCGTGGCCAGTGTGTGTGGACAGGAGGGCTGCGTGGTGACCGAAAGGTCTGAGGTCAAGGGGAGGCTGTGGATGCGCTTTCGGCGGTGAGGAGCCCAGACTCCACACTTGCCACCCAGGAGGGCCGGAGGGACTTCCGTTCCTGGCAGTCACTCACGGAAACATCCCAAGAAAGTTATTCGGGAGCTCTGGGCCGCAGAGGGTTTCCCGTCTGCCTCCCGAGCTCAGAGGCTAGCCTGCCCTGCGGGGGTCCTGGGCAGCCACTGGGGGACAGACGCAGTGACCCTGGGCGCGCACTTTGCCTCCCCGTTAGAGATGTCGCCCGTGTGATCCTTAACAAGGCCTACCACAAAGTGCTGGACCAGCTGTCCCGCAAGAAATTACTGCAGAAGCTCGTGGCCAAGGGCGTGGGGTAAGAATTTGCGAAAGAGTTAACGGGCGCGTGGTGGCGCGCGTGCGCCGGGGTGGGTGTCGTTTGGAGTGCGAGTGGGGTGGGAGGTGCGGTACCTACGTTCTGCGTGCTCACGGGGCTGACGATGAGTCTGCGTTGCGGGGTCTGTGGGGTCAGTCCCTAGCCGCTGGCGAAGGTTCTATGGCGCACCTGAAGTTTGGCGAGAGAGCTCAGGGATCTGGGAGAGAAAAGGAGAGGGCAGGAAAATCCGGGAGTTTGATCTGTTTTGATTTAAAACAAGAGAAACCAAATAGCCCCCTCAGTCGTTCAAAACCTTAAAGCATCGCGGGAGGATTTGCTATAATTTCCTCTAAGTCAGACTTTAAAATTTATTTTATTGTAAATTCATAAGAAACCAACAAACCCTCAAATTTGGACACGTCAGGAAACAAACAGTTTTTGCTCGTGCAAGACCTACCCAGAGCACAGGGCTTGTGTGGAGCATCTCTCAGCAGAAGGCAGCATTTTAATAAAGCCCTTGGGGAAACGGATTACATTTTTCGTAATGAATAATTCATGTGATGAAATATATTGCCTACAGTCTGTCGACTTGTATTATTATCACGTTTTTTCAACTTAGCGTGCGAAAGGAGAGTGCTTGTGTCAGACTAGGTAGCAATGGCAGGATCGATGTAAACTCCAAGGCAGCAGCCAATGTGGCATTTAGGGCTCTTTCGTTATTTTATGTTAGGACAATTCAGCGCAAACGCACGGACCGGATGGTCGTATCTCGTGGACAGAGGTTAGGCTTAAATCTCGTGCATTTGGCCGGGACCTCATAAGGGGCCCCTTTCCTAAGGACGGGTGCCAGGAAATCCTCGGAGGGGAGGGAGGAGGGAGAGTTTTCCGTCGCAGCTCTCTCTCCATCTCTTACTGGCAGAGGAAGGCCCTGGAGGGCAGGGAGAGCCCTGCCCTTTCTGCATGCAGGCTCCTGCGTGGGGTGGGGTCCGCCTGCTCCCCGCAGCTATTGAACCTGTGTCTCCCACCCTGCCACCCTCTTCCTGACCCCTATCCTTGCAGTGGCATTCGAAGTGGTAACAGGAAGGACGACTGGGATCCGCTCTCCAAGCGCCACTCGGATGGAATCTTCACGGACAGCTACAGCCGCTACAGGAAACAAATGGCTGTCAAGAAATACTTGGCTGCTGTCCTAGGGAAAAGGTATAAACAAAGGGTTAAAAACAAAGGACGCCGAATAGCATTTTTGTAGCGATGAGTTATCAGCTACCCTTGTGTATACAACCCTGACACAATGAAAAGTCATTTTCCCAACAAACTGGAAGTCATCGCTCATGTGTTCTATCCAAACATGTATTTATGTATGAAGTAAAGCCATTAAATGAATATTTTGATAATAATATTGTTTTTCTTTTTACAAAGCACTAGAGAATGCACAGATATACTTTGTGGACCAATTATTGATATTTATTATAAATATATATATTAAAGAATATATATAAGTATAATAGAGAGAAGTTCATAAAAAATGTGCACAAGGATTGAAATTTCACCTGAGCTGTTTAGTATTTATATAAAATAGATAGAAAAATAGACAATCATTGTTTAGAATATTACTCCTATTTTTGTAAACTGGAATTAAAAGGATAGTATTTTTATCCGGACAGGCCTGAAGATATTAATACCGACCATTTGCTACTGTACATAAATAATGATGCCCTGCTTCAGGGAGATTTTGAGGTAATGATTTGGGAGAATTACTGTAGGACATTCTTTCCCAGTGAGTCTCTGGGGCAGGCTGCTTCAGTCCCAGCCCAACTCAACTAGGCACTGTCCCCCTCACTGGGTGACAATTCTAATACTTCTGCTTTCTTTGATTCTACTTTTATGTATATTTGTCTCTCTTTAGACTCAGCCCAGAAGAAAATTCTCCCGATGAAACAACAGCTCTATCTAAATTGTGCTTCTCCCCAGAATTCACACCACTCCTTGGGGGAAAGAGTTGGGAGACTGTACAGAGAAGGGAGACTTGGGTAGGAAGCTCCCTTTTCTGTACTTCCAGGAAATCCAATATCCCAAGGTTAGGACAATAGGAACAAGTGAAAGAAATGCAGGTATACTGGAAGAGGCAGAGCATAAGGCAGTAGGAGGAGGACCCTGGAGAGGGATTTTTTGGGGCTGCCCCAGCTCTGGCATGCTGGGGGTAAGCAGAGTCCCCACCTTAGGTCCCCAGCCTGACTGACTGGGTGCTGGGTGTTTGAAATGGATGCAAAGTACAATGTGTTTTTCTCCAGTGCTGTCCATGCTTCTCATCTTGTGAAGTGGCCGGGATCCTCCCTTTTGAACCCTGCTCTGTAGGAGCCACCCTTTTCTTTTGTGGTTTTTCTGAAGACTCCTCCTTCCTACTCTCTTGCACTGTTTAAGTATTGTTTACCATTTTCATTCACTTCTCTTAAACTTGTGAATGTGTCTTACCTTTTGTTGTTTAATGCAAGCACTTATTGTAAAGTTTAGGAAACCCTATGTAGTTATCACTAAGTAATTATGCACTAAATATGAACCTTCTGTTCTTGTTTATTGAGTTTGTAGGTAAAATGTATTTTTCTACATTATGGCTTATTGCTTAGTAAAATTTATTTCATAAAACCAACCTTTGTCATATTAGAATGTGTAGTGTTCACATGTTGCTCAGTTTTACTAACTGATAAATCATTTAAACCTCATCTTATGTATGAGTACTATCTTATATTTGTGGTCAAGAGTAAGGTAAGCAAGCTCCAACAGACCCTGAGAACTTCCCTTTGTATCCTTTCTTGGCTACAGAAAGCATGTCTGTCTGTTTCCTATCAATTTCTTGAACATATGGAGTAATCTCTAAAAACAAAAGAACCTTCACCCAACAACCAGATCAAGCAACAACACGCAAACCAGACAAACTCCCAAATTTCAGGCACAAATTCTTTTGGAAAAAAAAAAAAGGACAAGAAAAGATTAAGCATTAGCTTGTAAAGTTTAAAGGACCTTTCCTTTTCCTTTGCGGATTTGATCAGTATGAAGTCATAAATCAAAGAAAACAGAATTGAATTTGCATTCCCAGGCGGGATGGATGCTGCCAGGAGATCACATTGCAAACAGTGAAAGCACAGAGGCATTCGATCTATGCCTGAGTCCTGTGTATGGGATCAATCTTTCTTTAATTCTGCAGTCTCCTCAGGCAATATGACCCGGGACGCAGTTTGCAGCTGTAGTGCCTTTCTTCGCCTTTTAAATCGCCACGAATCACAGATGGCTATTTAGTGGCCCTACAATGCTGCAACACATCGGCTTGCATTTTAGTCTTATTTGTTTCTTGGATAATGGGCAGAATTTTCTGTATTTGTGTCAGCTGTTAGTAGTGAAATAGGGCTCTAGTTAACTTTTTATTTATGAAGTCTAATTTGGTGTTTTCGTGGCTAGTTGCAAGCATTTACAGTGATCATCCAATTTAATCTTTTGTATACTTTTTAGAAATGCCAAGAGCCTTACTAACCTGAAGCAGATTTATGATATAGTGATAATTTAGGTAGGTGTTAGTCTTGAAGCTCTTATTTTATGTGCAAATGATTATAAAAAACATCTTAATCAAGTATTATTACACACATGATATCTATAACTAGGACTTTGATAACTGTTATATGAAGTGTGTAAAATTTGTATGAATAAATTTTTGTAAACAATGCAGCTTCGTCTAATGTTTGGAGAAAAAAGACATCAGGAAATAACTACTTTAAAATCTCTTAAAGTATTATATTTTCTTTACAAACCATAAGAATTTTTATGTCTGGAATATCTATCTGAGCATCTATGTATTTTCATAAATGTACTTTAATATCTGCTTGATGGGTTATGGATTCAACTAAAAATACAAAGTAGCTACTCAGAGAAGATGACTGAGAAGATATCAAGCTTATAAATGGGCATGAATATTGGGACATTTTTAGGATGCACAATTTAGAAAAATTTCTATCTGCTGGTGTTAATATATGTTGTTCAGTATTAAGAGAATTACTATCCAGTGGTGGGAGAGAGTACCTGGGTATTAGTTATGCTTCTAAAATATCAATCTATCATTGTTTTTTGCAAGTCACTGTGCCGACTAAATTGGACTCTATAAAATTATGTATAAAATGATTCAAATAATTAGTTTTGAAGGTTTTAAAATATCTTTAGAGACCTACAGACAACTGTCTCTGATTAAAATGCGTTGGGTAGAAGGAAAATGAACACAAGTAAGCAGAGTTAATTAAATATCTTTAAAAGAACTAGAACAAAATATGAAAAGTCATTTGTGAATTATTATTTTTCTTTTCTTTATTGATCTTTAGAGAGAGAGGAAGGGAGAGGGAGAGAGAGATAGAAACATCAATGAGAGAGAACATTAATTGGCTGCCTCCAGCATGCCTCTGACTGGGGATTTGGCCCACAACCTGGGCATGTGCCCTGACTGAACATCAAACTGGTGACCTCTTGGTGTATGTGTCAATGCTCAACCACTGAGCCACACCGGCTGGGCATGAATTATTTGTTTTATTAATTCATATTAGCAGACTTTAAAGCAAAACCTTCATATGCAATTTTTATAAATTTCTCAGTGGTGTTTATTTTGGAAGCATTTGATGATTTCTGGGTTAAAAGATTTTGTACTGAAAGTCACTTATAATAAGTCATATTATATAATATAAATAGCCAGATTTTCATTTTAAAATTAATGCAGTCATTTAATAAGTCAGTAAATATGTCAGAGTAGTACTAAAAGACTGGCAAAAATAAAAAGATGAGCAAGAATTCAAAAACTATCTTCAGAACTTAGCTCATTATTTAAGGGCCAGAATCATAAGGGAGGAACTTATGATCTAGAGATCCCATTTGTAGTAAATTAAAAGAAATGGATACAGTATAATTCATATTTACATTGGGTTTTATGAGATACAAAATTTTTGTCATCTTAACCCCCCACCCCCACACAACCCATGGAGACATAATGTATATAGTAGTGTGGTAAATGGAAAAAATGAAGAAAGATAATTTTCTTTGGTTGGGGCTAATGACTTGTCTAGAAATTAGAGATAATCCCTAGACTTGGCTGACTTCAAGTCAAGTTCATGTATATAGCAACTGGCTATTCTGTTATGTGGGATATTTCAAATGATGGCTTTTCCTTGGAAGGCTTGATATATTTAGATATCCAGTAAGTTATAATATGTACCTTAAGGCTGTAAAGGTTGGGAATACATTGATTCAATACAATACAGTTTATTGGACACCTAGAATGGACGAGGCACACTTGTTGAGAGAGCTTAAACCTGGGAGTTAAGGTAGTAGTTTTCCAAATAATATATATTTTTTTGCCAACACAATCACCTGGGTGACTTGTTAATAATGCAGATTTAAGGACTCTAACAGACATAGTGATTCTGCACTTTAAATAAAAGTCCTAGATTAACAGGCACTGAAGTTTGAGACCATATAGATTTAGAAATTGGTGACATGTAGCACATACTACCTGTTACCTGCACACAGTAATAAATACATCAATGAATCATATTTTCCTGGGATGGCCATTAGTTTCTTTGAAAATTGCAATATTTCCTTTAGATTACTAAGGCCATAATTAGTATTATTTTACTATATGTTCTAGTTGGATCTGTTGTTAAGCTTCTGGAAGGAGAGTGATCCTGTAAGCAGCGTCTAGAAAATTCAATCATGTGACTGAGAGACTACTGAAATAATAGAGAGAACTTGTGCAGGTAGCTGCCAGCAATTCTTCAGATCCAGAAGCCCACTTCCAATTGCATTATATTCAAATTGGACTGGACTGTATCCCTGCAACTGTTTATGATTTCACTTGATGTCTCACTATAACCTTAAACTCAGCCCTACTGTTCACACTATTAGAAGACTGGGAACCAAGGTCAAGTCTGAACTCCTCTCTTTCATTGTAACTCGTTGAAGAAGGGAGATGCTTGTTCCCCTTGCTGCTGCCCATGGTCTCACCACTGGCTTCCTACCTTGGTTTGTAAATGGTCAGCCTACCTTTGGTTATTCTTCCTTCAACAAGGCAGTTTTAGCTCCTTCTTAATTCTCTCTCATCAGACGTTGCAGGGGAGCCTCCACTGTCATAGGGTTCAAGTTTTTCATACTCTGGACCCATTTCTTAGCCAGTCTGACCTCCTACTGTTCCCCAGCATGTATCTTCCTTTAGAAGGAGAAATTCTTATCACTGTTTGAAACTTAAATGCGTCCTTTTTTTGTTTTGTTTTGTTAATCCTTATCTGAGGATATTTTTCAATTGATTTTTCAGATGGAGTGGAAGGGGGGGGGGGAGAGAGAGAGAGAGAGAGAGAGAGA